GTAGAAAGTTAGAAACAGAAAAGAGGGAGTTTCACTAGCAAGCAGTTGGGTACATATAGCAAACCCTAAATTGGGCTGTACTCACTATTGAGTACCCCACTGCAGGCTAGACAAACATAACATTCTGACAGGGGGTTGGGTGGGGGGTTTACCGTTTCCCGGGAATTTGTTCCCCGGAAAATTTTCCCCTGCGGATTGCTTTCCGCCTTCTCGACCCCCTTGCACTTCCGACCCTGCGCAATGCACCAACCAAACGCATCAGATGGGGGAAACAGGGAACTGTTAGAATCTGGAACGAATGAATGAAACAGAGAAGAGGGGTTTCACTAGCAAGCAGTTGAGTACATATAGCAAACCCTAAATTGGGCTGTACTCACTATTGAGCACCCCACTGCAGGCTAGACAAACATAACATTCTGACACACCCCCATAGCCAAAGTGGGGTATAATCAGCACAACAAGCAAAGCAAAACAAGCTAAGGGTGGATCACAACGTCACCACACATTCTGAGCACAAGTACAAAAAGCAGCAGATTATAGTTCACAGTAATAAGTAAAGCTAGAGGCTATCACAGAGGGCAAGTGAGGAGGAGGCTGGACTGATAGGAGAGGAGATAGGAGGCGACGACTGAAGCTGCAGACACACGGGCAACAGGAGCGGCGCGCACAGTGGCTACCGGAGCAAAGGCCCCGGACTACAGGAGTAACTGGCTCGGCGGCTAACTCTGAGCGGCAGGAGCAACGAACCCACGGGCGACAGGCACAGCAGGCTCTCTGAGCTACCAGCAGCAAAGGCCCCGGACTACAGGTGCTGCGGGCGACAAGACGACTGCCTCCGCCCAACATCCCCAAACTGTCCCACCCCCCTTTCACACAACCTCTGCTACACCCCTAGTTTCACTCCCACGACACACCCCCCTAGTACCACTCCTTCGTCTCCTACACACCCACCCCCCTCAGCGGTAGCTGCAGCAGTAGGAGACGGAGGAGGAGGAGGAGGGGATAGTACACATACCCGCCACCCCCAGACCCGCCACCCCAAAGGTGCACGAGAACAGGAGGCGGCGAGGTGTGGCTCGCGGGTTGCAGGGGTGGCACGCGGGCTGCAGAAGGGGCAGCGCGGGCTGCAGAGGGCGCCACAAGGGGCGACCGGGGTGGGAGCCGCGCGGGCCCCCTAGGGCGCCACGACGGGCGTCTGGGGTGGGGGCCGCGCGTGTCAAGAAACAGGAATGAATGAGAGAAGAGGAAGGAGTTCACTAGCAAACATTGGGATACATATAGCAAACCCTAAAAGGGCTGTACTCACTATAGAGTACCCCACTGCAAACTAGAGAAACATAATATTCTGACACACCCCCATAGTCAAAGTGGGGTGTAATCAGCACAAGAAGCAAAGCAAAATAAGCTCAGGGTGGATCACAATGTCACCACACATTCTGAGCACAAGCAACAGTTTAAAGGTCACAAATATAAGCAAAGCTAGAGGCTATCACACCGGGCAAGTGAGGAGGAGGCGGGACTGTAAGAGGAGAGGAGATAGGAGGCGACGGCTGAAGCTGCAGACACACGGGCAACAGGAGTCACACTGGCACAGTGGCTACCGGAACAGCGCCCCAGACTACTGGAGTAACTGGCTCCGTGGCTAAAACGAGCGGCAGGAGCAACGGACCCACAGGCGACTGGCGCAGCTGGCTACGACTGGGCTACCGGAGATTGTAGCCTCCGGACTACTGGCGCTGCTGGCGACACAACGGCTGCCTCCGCCCATCCTCCCTCTAACTGTCTCACCCCCCTTTCACACACCCCCTGCTGCACCTCTAACTCTGCTCACACGCCACCCCCTAGCACCACTCCGTCGGCTCCCACACACCCACCCCCCTCAGCGGCAGCTGCAGCAGTGGGAGACGGAGTAGGAGGAGGAGCAGGGGATGCCACACACCCGCCACCCCCTACTCGCCACCCCAAAGCCCTAACACAGGGCAGGGCAGGATGGCGGGTAGGGAGGTTACGGGGGGGGGGGGGAGGAGGGCCGCAACGAAGACAGGAGGGGCCGAGGCGCTGCCCCACAGGGCGCCAGAGCAGGCGGCAGAAGGGGCGACACGCGCCCCCCCCCCCCAGATCGCCCCTCCCGTCGTCTGTCGAGGCGACCTGAGGGGGGCCGCGCGCGGCCCCCCAGGGCGCCGCGACGGGCGACGGGAAAAGAGGGGCGGGGGGGGCGAGGCGCGGGCCCCGGGTGCGCCGCGACAGGGGACAATGCATGGCCGGGGTAGGGCCAGGGCAGGGCCGGGGCAGGGCCGGGGCAAGGCCGGGGCAGGGTCCGTGCAGGGCCGCGGCAGGGCAGGGGCATGGCCGGGGCAGGGGCCGCGACGGGGGCCGCGACGGGGGGCCGCGACGGGGGGCCGCGACGGGGGGCCGCGACGGGGGGCCGCGACGGGGGGCCGCGACGGGGGGCCGCGACGAGGGGCCGCGACGGGGGGCCGCGACGGGGGGGCCGCGACAGGGTGACGGGGCAGTGGCCGCGACGGGGGCCGCGAGGGGGGGCCGCGACGGGGGGCCGCGACGTGGGGCCGCGACGGGGGGCCGCGACGAGGGGCCGCGACGGGGGGCCGCGACGGGGGGCCGCGACAGGGCGACGGGGCAGTGGTTGCGACGGGGGCCGCGAGGGGGGGCCGCGACGGGGGGCCGCGACGTGGGGCCGCGACGGGGGGCCGCGACGGAGGGCTGCGACGGGGGGCCGCGACAGGGGGGCCGCGACGTGGGGCCACGACGGGGGGCCGCGACAGGGCGACGGGGCAGGGCCGGGCAACGGGGTCGCGAAGGGCGACGGGGCAGGGCCGAGGCGAGGCCGTGACGGGGCCGCGACAGGGCCGCGACGGGGTCGCGAAGGGGCCACGAAGGGGCCAAGAAGGGGCCACGAAGGAGCCGTTAAGGGGCCGCGAAGGGGCCGCTAAGGGCGCTTCGGGCAGCAGGGCAGAAAAAAAAAGTTTTAGCGAAGTGGTGGGCCCGAGGAAGGATCAGTCCCAGGAGGGAACCAGCTCTATACCATGTGAAGAAATAGGAATGAATGAGAGAAGAGGAAGGAGTTCACTAGCAAACATTGGGATACATATAGCAAACCCTAAAAGGGCTGTACTCAATATAGAGTACCCCACTGCAGACTAGAGAAACATAATATTCTGACAGCGCGGGCCCCCTAGGGCGCCACGACGGGCGTCAGGAGGGGGCCGCGCACTGGCCCCCTCGGGCGCCACGACGGGTGTCAGGAGGGGGCCGCACGCTGGCCCCCGAGGGCACCTCGAAGGGCGACGGGAGGGGGCCGCGCGCGGGCCCCCGAGGGCGCCACGTCGGGCGATGGAAGGGGGGGCCACGCGGGCCCCCGATGTCGTCACGACGGGCGACGGGAGGGCCGCGCCCGAGCCCCCCGAGGCGCCGCGACGGGCGACGAAACCGCCGCACGCCCCGGGGCGCGCGACGGGCAGGGCACCGTCGCGCGCCACGGGGCGCACGACGGGCAGAACAGGGCGCCGCGCTGCCCCCGGTTGGCGCGACGGGCAGAAAACCGCCGCGCGCCCCGAGCGCGCGGCGGGAAGAAAAATTGCCGCGCGCCATGAGCGCGCGGCAGGCAGGAAAACAGTGCACGCCCGAGGCGCGCTAGAGGCAGGACAGCAGCGGAAGCATTGGGTGGGCCCATGCACAGGATCGACACTGGAGGGTCGACCTGCCCTGATTCCATGTTAGAATCTGGAACGAATGAATGAAACAGAGAAGAGGGGTTTCACTAGCAAGCAGTTGAGTACATATAGCAAACCCTAAATTGGGCTGTACTCACTATTGAGTACCCCACTGCAGGCTAGACAAACATAACATTCTGACAGGAACACTCCCATCTCGTCATGTGCCATGCTGCTCTGCACTCCTCAGCAGAGTCTGGTCTGGTCTGTGCTAAAATCTGAACCCTGAACACATGTTTTTTTTGCCCTGACAGGTCATGATTAACGTCAGTAAAAGCCCTGAACATACAGGAAGGCTTTGAAAATTTTCCCTGACAAATCAGGGCATTTTTAAAGAACTTATAAAAGTGCTTTGAGGCAGGCCCTCAGATTCACTTTTAGAGACCCTGATGCATCAGGGTCCCTGTGAAAAAAAAGGCTGATTGTCAGTGTTCTAAAAAAAAAAAGCCTGAAATTTCAGGGTTCCTAGAAAAAAAAGCCTGATCTCATATATATACTATATGTGTATATGTGATGTTGCAGGGCATCGACCCGTAGACCTTTCCCTTCGGCAGAAAATTACGAAACCAACTGGGACAATTCATGCCATCTCACGACTGTGTTGTTTTTGTTACAAAATTTTGGAGTCTGCATTCAGTGTACACGTTCGATAAAAGGCTGAAAAATCAGTCCCCTTCCATAAAAAAAGGCTGAAATTTCAGGGTTACAAAATGGAAAAGAGGCTGAAAATCAGTCAAATCAGGGTAAAAAGCCTGATATCTGAGGGCCTGCCCTGAGGCCTCAGGGTGCCCCAATTCCTAGCACGAGCCCTGCTCTACACGGTGTTGACGTACGCGGTAAGGATTGCCCAAAAAATCTTTACAATAACTCATAATGCTGTAAATTCGTTCATAACTATACTCCTCATCAGCCCTCCGGCACAACAGTGCTAGATTGCCATCAGACTCGATTCCGCGACTGTCGCCGTGCATCCCACCATGGCACCATCGCTCGCCCTCGTCGCTTCGCCGCCGCTCTCGTCGTCGTCTGCCCACACATTGCGTCAGTACCGCGCCCTCACCGCCGCACATCGCGCCTGTGCTGACCCACCGCCCTCACCTCACCACCCACTGCCCTCACCTCACCACCCACTGCCCTCACCACACCACCCGCTCTCTCACTGCGTCTACCATCCACCCCCACCCGCCCATCCCGCCCCTCCCGCTCCTCCCGCTCCTCCCGCTCCTCCCGCTCCTCCCCGCGCCCGCCCTCAGTGCGCACGCGTAGTGCATGCGCTACCCGTCATGCGCCACCCGCCATGCCCCATGTGTCACCGCTGATCCGCGCGCGGCACACCAGCGCACCCCATCCTTCCCCGCCGTCGCCTCCACCCGTCGCGCCGCCCTCACCCCCCTTCGCCGGTTGCTCCCCTCCTCGCCCCTTGCCCTTCGCCCCTCGCCCTCGCCCCTCGCCTCGCGCCTTTCGCGCATCTCCTCCCTCCCCCTTCCCCCAACGCCCTTCCCCTTTCGCGCATCCCCTCACTCGCTCGCCCCTCTGCTCGTCCCTCTGTGCCGCCCCTCATCACCGGGCGACCTCAGCCGGCACCCGCACACAGCCCTCACTGCGCGTGCCATCTCCCCGCGTGCCCGCTCCTCCCTGCCATTCAACCTGCGCTCAATCTTCTTCCTTGCGCCTTTCCCCCCCCTCACCGCAACAACCCACCCCCGTTCCCCTCCTTCCCTGCCCTGCCCTCCCTTCCCCTCCTCACAGCACCACGCGCGTCCGCCTCCCCCTGCGCGCGCTGCTGCTGCGCCGCCACGCAGCTGCCCCCCCCGCCACACCCACACTCGCGCGCCCCTTGCTTGCCAGGCGCATGGCTCCCAGCAGCCCGCCCCGCAGTGCTCCCCCTTGCAGTCGCGCGCCCCAGGCAACCCCGCACTGTGCGGGCGGCAGCGGGGGGCGACATGGGCGGCATGGCAGCCATTGTGGGCGGCGCAGTGGCGGTGGTGGGGGTGGCGGCGGTGCTGGTGGGGCTGCAGCGTGGAGGGGAGTCGGAGAGAGCAGGGGAGGACGACGGGGCTGCTGCTAAGGTTAAGGTGAGGGCGTGAGGTGATGTGACGTGAGGTGATGTGACGTGAGGTGATGTGACGTGAGGTGATGTGTGGTGACGTGAGGTGATGTGATTTGAGGTGATGTGAGGTGATGTGATGTGATGTGATGTGATGTGATGTGATGTGATGTGATGTGATGTGATGTGATGTGAGGTGATGTGATGTGAGATGATGTGATGTGAGGTGATGTGAGGTGATGTGAGGTGATGTGATGTGATGTGATGTGATGTGATGTGATGTGATGTGATGTGATGTGATGTGAGGTGATGTGATGTGAGGTGATGTGATGTGAGGTGATGTGATGTGAGGTGATGTGATGTGATTTGAGGTGATGTGATGTGACGCGAGGTGATGTGATGTGAGGTGAGATGATGTGACGTGAGGTGATGTGATGTGACGGGAGGTGATGTGATTTAAGGTGATGTGAGGTGATGTGATGTGATGTGATGTGATGTGATGTGCTGTGATGTGATGTGATGTGAGGTGATGTGATGTGAGGTGATGTGATGTGAGGTGAGGTGATGTGATGTGAGATGATGTGATGTGAGGTGATGTGATGTGAGGTGATGTGATGTGAGGTGATGTGATGTGACGTGAGGTGATGTGACGTGAGGTGATGTGATATGACGGGAGGTGATGTGATTTGAGGTGATGTGAGGTAATGTGATGTGATGTGATGTGATGTGATGTGATGTGATGTGATGTGAGGTGATGTGATGTGAGGTGATGTGATGTGAGGTGATGTGAGGTGATGTGAGGTGATGTGATGTGAGGTGATGTGAGGTGATGTGATGTGAGGTGATGTGAAGTGAGGTGATGTGATGTGAGGTGATGTGATGTGATGTGATGTGATGTGATGTGATGTGAGGTGATGTGATGTGAGGTGATGTGATGTGAGGTGATGTGAGGTGATGTGAGGTGATGTGATGTGATGTGATGTGATGTGATGTGATGTGATGTGATGTGATGTGAGGTGATGTGATGTGAGGTGATGTGATGTGAGGTGATGTGATGTGAGGTGATGTGATGTGATGTGATGTGAGGTGATGTGACGCGAGGTGATGTGATGTGATGTGATGTGATGTGATGTGATGTGATGTGATGTGCTGTGATGTGATGTGAGGTGATGTGATGTGAGGTGATGTGATGTGAGGTGATGTGATGTGAGGTGAGGTGATGTGATGTGAGATGATGTGATGTGAGGTGATGTGATGTGAGGTGATGTGATGTGAGGTGATGTGATGTGAGGTGATGTGATGTGAGGTGATGTGAGGAGATGTGAGGTGATGTGATGTGAGGCGATGTGAGGTGATGTGATGTGAGGTGATGTGAAGTGAGGTGAGGTGATGTGAGGTGATGTGATGTGAGGTGATGTGATGTGAGGTGATGTGAGGTGATGTGAGGTGATGTGATGTGAGGTGATGTGAGGTGATGTGATGTGAGGTGATGTGAAGTGAGGTGATGTGATGTGAGGTGATGTGATGTGAGGTGATGTGATGTGAGGTGATGTGAGGTGATGTGAGGTGATGTGATGTGAGGTGATGTGAGGTGAGGTGATGTGAGGTGATGTGAGGTGATGTGAGGTGATGTGATGTGACGGGAGGTGATGTGATTTAAGGTGATGTGAGGTGATGTGAGGTGATGTGATGTGATGTGATGTGATGTGATGTGATGTGATGTGATGTGATGTGATGTGATGTGAGGTGATATCATGTGAGGTGATGTGATGTGAGGTGATGTGATGTGATGTGATGTGATGTGATGTGATGTGATGTGATGTGATGTGATGTGATGTGATGTGATGTGATGTGAGGTGATGTGATGTGAGGTGATGTGATGTTAGAGACTAAGGACGGAGTCTACGAAGATTAGGTGCCTAAATTTCTCAAAATCGTTGGCTTAGAATTCTGGACAGAAACGTCGCGCTCACAAGAAACGCCGTCGACGAAAAACGCACCGTTAAAACTTCACCAATTTTGGATATGTTGTATCTCTAGAGCGTAGCTACAATTCCCAAGTTGAATCGTATCAAGAGGTGAAGTATAACTCGATTTATCAATTTCGGCGCACAGGGGGGTATGCTGCCATAGTATCTTAACTCAATCACAAGAGTCTCACAAGATTCACACAAGAAAGTTTGAGTAGCTAGAAACCAGGTAGGAGGGAAGGGGAGGACGAGAGGGGAGGTCCCCAAGGAGTCCCCAACCAGGGAAACCCCATAAGCACATCAAATCCCCTCCCACTTTTACTTTTGTCACTTTCCCAACCCATGCCATCCACCTTACCCAACTTGGCCACACTTGCCAACCTGGTTTGGCTCCTCCCAACCACTTGGCAGCATCTACAGTGATGTTGACGAATTTCCCAACCCCCAAAAGTCTATACCCCTTATGGAGTCAACCCCACAACTTCCCATAGTCACCACAACCAAATATCAAAAGCATACGAACTTCCAACGTTCGTAACTTTCTTGTTCGTGCTCCGATTGAAGCGATACTTGGTTCGTCGCAAAGATCTTGAGCAGAGGAGTCACTTCAGATATCTGCTCAAGCCAAATAACATTCACACACACTCAGAAAAACCAAACCACATCAAACACAAATTTTCTTGCACACGCTCACACCACGCATGCAACGCACGAACATGTGATGGGAGGCAGACAGACGTGAATGCATATGATAGCATCACATAACAAACTCCCCCTCTGGCTGCCTACCATCATCCCACATGCCATAGCTCAATCATGCACCCTCAATGCACACTCATCCCAGCAAGCTTCATGCCCTTCCAATGTTCCTCCAACCCTCATCATAATGGACTATCATCTCCTTCCAACATCTCCTCTTTGCTCAGATCTGCAGCACCCCTCTGCAACATCTCTCTCTCACATCACTATGCTCCAAAACCTCTCAATCCAGCCCCATAGCAGTAGGCTATCTCATCCTCATTGCACTGCTCAGTCACACTCCCAGCAGGTACCACACTTGGTGTGCCTCGGCTCGCATAGGTCAGCCTATTAGGAGGGCGCACATCCCTCCTAGGACGCTCAGGCGGACGTTGGTCACGTGGTGGAGCATCTTGCTGCTGCTGCTGCTGTTGCTGCTGCGGCTGCTGCTCCTGCTGCTGCTGCTGATGCTCCTCCACCTCAGGTTCTCCCCCATCCTCAGTCACCCCAGAGATCTCATCCTCTGAGACAGTGACCTGCATTTGCCTCGAAGGCCGCTGCACCTCATCAGCCTCAATGATCAGCGGTGTAGTAGGAAGCTTCTGATGCTGCTGCTTCCACTCCTTGTAGTATAAGGACTCGAGGAACTTCACATTCCTCGACACAGTCAGCTGCTGGCTGGTTAAGTCCCATATCAACCAGCCCTTGTGATCCTTAGCAAGCCCCAAGTGCACACCCCATCTCCCAGAAGCCTCCAGTTTTCCCCTCTTCTCCTTCGGCACATGAAACACCACCATGCACCCGTAGGCTCTCAGCATGTTGACTGCTGGCGCACTCCCATACCACTTGGTGTAGGGGACCCACTGCTTGTCCCCCACAGTCGCCAACACCCGGTTCTTCACAAGAGCGACCTGCCGCAGTGCAGTCACCCAAAACGGATCCGGCAACCCTGCACGCCCAAGGAGAGTGCGAGCACCTTCCTGCAGGGTCCGGTTGAACTGCTCAGCCACGCCGTTCTGCTGTGGGTTATAGGGCACCGTGAGCTGATGCTGGATCCCCTTCTTCTTCAGCACCGCCTCAAAATCAGCGCCAATGAATTCTCCCCCGTTGTCAGTGCGGATCACCTTCACCTTGTGTCCGCTCTCCCTTTGAGCTCTCGGCATCCACTCCTTGATAACAGCCGCTGCCACCTCCCCCTTGGTCTTGAGAGGGTACACCCACACCGCACGCGTGTGATCGTCCACAATCGTCAAGAAGTAGCGGCTGCCCGAGAGAGAAAGGGCCCTTGTAGGGCCCACCACATCCATGTGCACAAGTGCAAGTGGAGCCTTGGCTGGTCCCGCCCTGCTGCTGAAGGGAAATTTCGTGAATTTGGTCTCAAGGCATGTAGGGCAGCTCCCAATCTCCTTTGCTGCCCCTTTCACCTCTAGCCCCTTCAAGCTCCCATCATTCACCAACTTCTGCAGCATTGGAAAGTTCACATGACACATCCTTTCGTGCCATGTCTCCCAATCGGCTTCACCACTCCCAGATGAAGCCTTTGCCCATGCAGCTGTCGCATCCACACCAGCAAGCACCTCACTATGTGACTGCTGTGGTTGCTGCACCTTCTTGACTGCATCCAGGGCCCCATCAGTTGGTGCAGTCTCCTCTCCTCCCGTAGTTGCCTTTGCCGTTGCTGCTGCCGCTGCCGTTGCTGGAGGTTTCCTGTTCCAAGGGGTGATGGGCAGCTGCCATAGGTCCTTGATGCAGCTGCTCTTCTCCTCCAAATCCCAAAGCAGCAACTTCCCAAGCTTTGCACGGCAGCTGGTTGGGCCGAACGTAACTTTGGCCTTGCTTTTCTGCAGTCGGCGCACAGAGAGGAGGTTAGCGGACAAACCTTCAACCAGCAGTACATTCCCAAGCCCCACAAGCTCCCCGTTGGCTCCCATCACCTTGGCATTCCCAACACCAATTACAGGGAGCAAAGCACCTGAAGCAGCAGCCACAAACTTAATCTTTCCAGGGGACTTTACCTCATCAAGCAAATCTGCCCGTGGGGTCATGTGACTTGTGCAACCTGAATCTATCACCCAGTGAGTAAGGGGGTGCATCACAACCTTCCCAACCGAGCCCACATCACCCTCACTCCCTTTCACATCCTCAACCATGAGGAACATCACAGGGTCGGCTTTACCTTGTGCACCTGTACCTTGCACAGCGCCACCTCGTGCACGTTCACCACTTGGCGGCTTCATGCCTGGAGGCGTCCATCCTTTAGGCCGGCTGAAACACTTGAACCATGGGTGTCCAGCCTTCTTGCAGTACCAGCACGCACCCTCCATTCGGGTGC